TAGAGAAGATTGAGGTTATTCCAGCCAAAGCAAAGTACCCAGTTTGGAAGGAAGAAGAACATTTTGTTATTGACCAATGTATGTGATTAGCATTTGAGAAATGAACTTTGAAAGTCCATTTTACATAGAAAATAAGAGAAAAGGAAAAAAGCAGATTTAGGAAATTGGGTCCTGGAAGAAAAGCACTTACCATCATTAAATTCTCTTACGATTCTGATACAGAATGAAGCGTGTATGTCAGGTATTCTTTAAAGTTCCATGCTTACAAGGAATGAAGATATTAAAACATTAAACTGACTTAAGGAAACTGAAAAAAGTACTGACAGGTATATCAAGAAGTTCACGATTTTAAGGTTTCAAAAAAAGGTGGATCTAACAGCTAATGATGATGTACTCAAGAAAAATTTCTTGTTTTCAATCTCTCAACTCTGAGTCCAAGGTACTGGTTTCAGCTCATAACTGTCCCTCCTGTGACTGTATCAGAACTTCCTCCAGGAAACACAATAATGTTCTTTCTTTTTCGTGCCATAGGGGAAGGGACTGCTATTTTCCTTACTTATCTAAGCCTTCTCTCCAATTGAATTATCTTAGCTCAAGCATCCATTGCTGAGCCATTCATTGTGGCAAGGAGGAGAATTGACATATATCAAAGTGCTCAGTTTGGAGTGAGGGATAGGATTTATCCCACCCTAGATACAGTCTCATTCCTCTTTGGGAGGAAAAAGAAGGGAGTAATGGAAAAGAGGTCAGATGAACACTTGATAAACAGCTGGAATTTTCCCTGGAGGTATACTACTGATGATATTTGTTTAATTCTTATGAATACAAAGTTGTGTATGTTATCCCTACTCGAGCAGACTCCACTAGGTTCTCCCTTTGTGTCTGTTTATTCTTAAGGTTGTGTATCAAAATGTGTTCTGGCATCACATTTGGTCTTTTCCCAGGTAAATATAAATTTCTTCATTGGTTACAACTATACTGGTGATTTAGGGCCCATGTAGTCAGGCACCTGGGGCAAAGGGCCTGATGGCTGACTCCTTAATCATCTTCTGCAGTTAGTAATTTTCACTGTGCCTGTCTTGGCTTCCTGCCTTGGCTTGAAAACATTACTCCTAACACGAGCATGATTTATAGGTGATCTCTCTTTAATAGGTGGGAGAATGTGATATAATTGATAGGACCCTGGACTGTGGTTCAGAGGAGGTCAATTTTCTCCCAAACCCGCTGCCTGTTAGCCTTGCAGCAGTTAAGTCAGTTAGGGTAACTCTCCATAGCTTCGGTTTCCTTATCTGCAAAGTGAAGGGGTTGGATAAATGTGTAAGTCACCTGTGAGCTCTAATTTTCATTCTTCCATTGATGGCTCCTCTGAATATTCACTATACCTCATCCTCAAGCTGTTATTTCTTATGTGTTCAAAGACAGAAGGAAAGATCAAGAATCATTCTCACTCCTTAACTCTCAGATATTTTCTAAAAATAAATGGTATATTTTTAAAGACATATATGCTGAGGGACAAAAAAAATGTGTTCCTGTGTGTTTAGTGTGGATGTGTGTGTGCATGTGTATATATTTATACATATACACACAACACTATATATAATTATGTAAATAATTATATATAGCATTATATATAACTATAATTATATATGAGAGTATGTATATATATGTGTGTGTGTGTATATATATATGTATGTATATATAATTTTCTGACTTTTCCCCATATTATGTAGACATAAGTGGACATAGCTTACAGTTTAAAGAAAGGCTTTCTCTTGTGCAAGTGGCCATTTTCGGTATAATGTATTTCTAACTGTAGAGTTATGTCCTTTGGCAATAGGAGCTTTGTACTTTCTGGGGTATCTAATATGACAGAAATAACTACCTGTCAATCTCAGATTTTTAAGAAAAAGCACTTTGCACAAAAGATTTTTATTTTATTCCATTGTTTTAAGAGATAATTATGAGGTGTTATGAATTTAATTTCAAATTTATTATAATGAATAGTCCATACAGAGAAAGATTACTTGATGTTTAGTTGATAATTATGTCCTCAGACTAGAATATTTCCTGGCACCTAGAATGAGTTCCATGAATATTGTAAAATGATACTTACAATTTATCAGAGTCTAGAGAGCAGAAGACAGAGAGAGGTACATGGCTAGAGAGGGGCAGGCTACCTGGGCTGGATTCAATATTCTTCTTTCAGCTCAAGAATTCGTCAGGTTGAAACTTCCCTAAAGTAACCTCCCCTAAAACCTTCAATCATGGTCCACTCCATTCTTCAGTCCCTGATGTTTGTCTCCTGTCCATCCACTTCCTGTGTGATGGGCTGTTGTGCTCTGTTCTCTTCTTTTGCTGAATAATTTCCTGTCTATTACTGCTGATAGAGCAGAGATTTCCTCCATCACCAGGTGTCTGCTTAGCGGAGGTGCCCTTTAAAATGGATTAGCAGCTTGTGGAAACATTAGGTTGATGGATAGTTGACTATTACAAACCATCAAACTGACATGGAGTCAGAAAGAAATGGAATTACGTTTGGCACGTCATGGGGAAAGTTGGGGCAAATGAGAGTTATTTCTATATTACTTTATAACTCTTCCTAAAAGCATAGTGACTTCCCTCAGAAAAACAGGGAAGTCATGTAAAATATTGGAAGCTCAATCCCATAACTAAAGTTGAAGAGCTCCACCTCTTTGAATTGGTCAGGTGCTGTTGAGAGTGTGGGTTAGGGGCGAATACAGGTCGTTCCCTCTCTACAAAAACTACCCAGTGTTTTGGATTAGTATTTTAACTTTTGGTATTGTTTTTCAGAAGTGTACTGGATTTTATTAATGATGTTTAGGCATACTTTAACTATATATTTTCATTCTAAGTTAAATCTTAAGACTTCTCTTATGAGTGTGGTTTATAATAACCTGCATGCATTGCTTTCAGAACCTGATCATGTATCAAACTTTTCAAGTACTTGGCCTCTCTGACTTGTCCAGTTTGGTAATACTGATAGGGTAGGAAGGACAGCATCAAACTCTTGCCCATTTCGTGGGTGGGGCAAGTCAGAGAGATCCCCCAGCTCCAGCAGCTTGGGGTACACTCTGGCATGCACTGCTCCCCCAGGGTTTCTGATCCTTGACAGCTGTTCAGAAATTGGGTCTAAGGCCTTAAAGCTAGTTCTATATGACTCAGCTCCCATTAACTCCTACTTTAAGTCACCTGTGTGCTTATCAGACTCAGCTGCTGGATCTTAGTAAGTTTCATTAGGACTCTGGTAGGATCTCACCTCTGCTGTTTCTCTACCCAGATGAAAGTCCTTCTCTGAGCCTAAGCTGAAGTCTGAAAGCTGTTTTCTTCTTAGTGTCACCCAATTCCATCTAGCGCTCCTGCCTTGTAGTAGGTTACAGAATGAATTGTATTAGTCGTGGAAAAGTGCGCTGGAGCTCTGTCAACTGGGATTTTGAACCATGCTTGGCTATTTCCTCCTGTGAGACCTTGGGGAGTTACTCAAGGACTCTGTTCTTTGTTTCTTCATTTCACAATACTACCCTTGTAAGAGTGTTGTGAGGCTGGATAAAAACATCTGACACATGTAGGGGACCTATACATGTTAGTAACAAGCCTGTTCAAGTAGAAAGAAAGGCTACTTTGCTCAACACTAACAGCAGAAAGTACTTGCATGGTCCTTGAGGAATATGAATTGGTTAAGGGATAATAAATGGCACATTATTTGTTAAAGAGAAAAGCTTCCAAATTGTACTTTCTCAATTTCTACTTATTGAGGTTGGAGTTAACATTCTGCTTAATATAAGCTCTGTATTAGTGATTTTTTTTTACGTGGAAAGTGATAAAATAAATGTAAATAATCAAAACCTCCTGGGTATAATTTAAACCTTCTATAGCTTGGCAATCACTACATGGTGCCCAAGTCACTTCAGGGTTACTATTGTGAACATCTTCACCAACCACCTTCTTTTACACATGACATATGCTCAATAAGTGTTTGCTGGTAGAATGGATAGATGTGAATGGACTTCAATAATCACTATATTATTTTAGATGGATAAAGTGCTATTAAAGAGAATGACAGATATTTCACTGCCTAGGGTATTTCCACAAAAAAGCTTTTTGATCCAAAAAGAATGTCTTTTTTTTTCTTTTAGAGATGGTGAAGTGATTGGTTGGCATCATCCAGCTAAAGGATAGCAGGACAAAGATTCATGCCTAATTGTGTTAAGCTACAAAGTAGGGTTGTTGGATAAAATAAAGAGCCCAGTTAAATTTAAATCACAGATAAAGAATGAACATTTTATTTGATGAGTATGCATCAAATTCTGAAAAAATTTTTTAAAGATAAGTATGTAGAGAAGATTGAGTATTTTCAGTATATCTCAAATATTGAATGGGACCTATTCATCCTAAAATATGATTCATCATTTATTTGAAATTCAAATTCAAATGAGCATTTTGTATTTTTATTGCTAAATCTAGTGACCCTAATAAAAACCCAGTTTCTCTTCTACACAACATTTCTGTTAAGTCTCCTTCCGTAACTCGATGTGGTGGTGAATGTTTTCAGACATGTTAGCATTTGATTCTCAGAGATGGCATACCACCTTCCACTCTCCAAGACAGGGAAAAATCTAGCCCCTTCTCCTGTCTCTCTCTTCCTCATGAAGCTCTTCCATTGGTTTCCTTCTCCCACCTTCTAATCCTGCAAGTCTCATTTTCAAGACTCACTGTCCCTGCAAAATCACCTCATTTGTAAACCAAACTCATCTTTCCTACAACTCTTGTTCCTTCCTCCTCTGACTTCCCTATTTTTAAAATGCAATAACCAATTTCCCAACCATCAGACCTGCCAAACCACAAAATGACTGCAATCTCTCCCCACCCTTTTTATTATAGATACATCAATTCTTTGGTACTGTTATTCCTTTTTCTAAAACATTTCCTCAGCCCATTCTTTACATTGCCAAATACCCATGTCTAGAGGAGGCTCACCTCACCTCATTTTCAGACCAGTGTGATTGTTTCCTGATGGCTCCATCTCTCCCTTCTCCAGGCAATTCTGCCAAGCTCATGCCCAGGTTAATGTCTCTAAAATACAAGATTTTCTGACAAGAGAAAGAGAAATAGCCCGACAGAAAAAATGAACAACATTTATCTGCAATCAATAGGCAAGAGAGAAATTACAAACAACCAAGAAACATCTCAAAATCACTAATGGTCCAGGGAAACTCAAATTAACCTAATAATGAGATATTGCTTTATGACCAGGATACTGAAAAAGAAATGAAAAGAACAATAACAGCTAACGCTGACAAGGTTCTACAAAAAATGATCGTCTTATATGTAGCATGTAGAAATGCGAATTGATAGTTTTTAAAAGCAATCCAAATTTTTTTAAAAAATGCACACGTATTTTGACACATTGGAACAATATCACACATAAGAATCTATTTTATCATAATAAATCTACTAGTACTTAAATGATAGGTGAGGGTCTTTGTGGAAGAGGAATTTGAAATAGTAAACAAGCCAAGAAACAAATAAAAAATCCTTCGTGAATAAATAAATGGTTACCAGGAAACAAAGTCATCAAATAATCACCATAAAATATTGCACACACATTAAAAGTGTAGGTCAGCATGTTCACAGTATAGGGGCTGATTGATTTCCATATGTAGGAAAAGTTACAGAAATGTATACATTTGATACTATTTTCTACTAGTGACCTAACTTATTTGAGTATTTGTACCTATAAAAAATACGTATATATAGGCATACACATTTTCATGAATATAAACTATACAAAGAGGTAGACAATATAAAATTGATCACATAGAGTTACCATGTGGGTGCGGAATCTCCTATAAATTGATAAGGATGAGAGCAAATGAAACACTTTAGTTTTGTGTCCCATGCTGCAATTTTAATGGTTCCTAATTTCTTATAAAATAAAAATAAATATTTAGGTTTTACTAATTGACTTCATTCTATTTTCTTCCATTCAACCTTATCTTTTCATTGACCACTCCATTGATCTCAGATTTCCTCCTATCTCTACTCTATGCTTAATCTCTGAACTTACCCAGGTAATATTTTCCTTTTCTTTCAGTCATTCCTTTAAGAAATTCTTTCAACATCCTCTTCACTCTGTTCTTCTTCTTTAGTATTTTCTCTATAATAGTGTAGTTCAGTTCTCAGCATCTGCTTGGTCATCCCACCAGTTTGTTGTACAGAGCATTCCATTGACCATGGGGCCTAATCCATTTGCTTGGGGATGTACCAGTGAGTGATGCATGGGAGCATACGCCCTGTTCTTCCAATATTCTGAGTCCAAATGATGTTAAAGCATGTTTGCTATATATTTTTTTTCATTTGTATATAGAATGACATCTGCTTCCCTGCCTCTCTGAGACAGGTGTTACCCTGACTATAGACCTTATTTTCTGTCTGATTTCTTGGGTTCGTGACCTTTTATTTTTTCAGTTATGTTATGGAGGCAATTGGTACCGCTCCTGTGAATTCTAATCTAGACAGGGGTTAGATATATGTTGTTACCATTAGTGAAAGCCTGCCCCCTGCTAGGCCCTATGCTGAGCATACCATATAATCAATGTTTCATGATCAACCTTTTACAGGTGGGTTGGAAGGTCAGTCAAATTGCTGTGGGTCAGGTGTAGTGAGTAGCTACAATGAATCGAATTTTTGTATTACCTCAAGCTTCATATGTTAAAACCTAATCTTACCCAATGGCATTTAAAAGAGGCATCAATGGAAGGTAATTTTGAAGATCATGATGGTGGAATTCTTAAGAATGGAGTTAGTGGCCTTATAAGGAAAAAGTCTGAGTGCTATAAGCTAGCTTTCCTTATGTGTCATATTAGAATACAAGGAGAAGTTGGCAGCATGTAGTATGGAGGCCTTCGCCAGAACCAACCATGCTGGCATCCTGATCTCAGACTTCTAGCCTCCATAACGGAGAGAAATCAATTTTCGTTCTTCGCAAGCTTTCCAATTGCTGGTAATTTGTAATAGCAGCCCAGACATACACAGATAGGCGAGACTAACAGCTTCCAAAACTTGTGTTCCCTTCTATGACCCTCTGCAGGAGAAAGCAAACTTCTGCCTCAGAGTCAGGCCCCAGTGTACATGACTCAGAATATAGTAGCAGGCTAGCATAAAAAGAAGTGTCACTTCTGAGCAGAAAAATTCAGGACTTTTAGAAAGAACAGTCACAGCTGGCAGGAGTCCACACAAAGTCAAAGATGGGATTCAGAAACCTGGGAATCACTATAGGAGGTCTTCCTGATGTCTTCATGATTTGTGTCTTCTGCAATAAGCCCCAGGCTGCCATGAAAATCCTTGTGTGTGTTTACCTTGTGTATATTTAGGTTCCTTCTGTAACCTCCCTTTAGGCCTAAATCTGGATACAATCAAACCCTCAGTGTCTTTTTGGAACTTCCCTAACCAGTTGCTTCCCTAGTCTACTTGTTTCTAGGAGTGACAGTCAACCCATCTTGGGGACTGTTTATTAGCTCTCGATTATCTGTTGCTTCAGGTCTGTGCAAGACTGTCTGCTCATCCTCAGGCAGTAAGCATAGAAGGATGCCCCATTCAGACGGGGTACATCTCAACCTTTTTGGAGTGTGCCCCTGATTTTAACTCCCCTGGGAATTTCAGAGAGGAAGACCTGAGGTTGATAGGCTTAGCTTTTCTTTCACTTTCCCAATAGGTACAGTATCTATGAGCTGTGGTATTCACACATGCCCAGCGTGCTGCCAGCAGGGATCAAACACAAAGTCAAAGGAGGCAGAAATAGCAAAAATCCAATTCCGATGCCTTTGCAGCTGGCAGTCATTTAGCATTTCATCTCCATGAATTTCCCAGGGTGCACGCAGGAGTTGTGTGCATTTAAGATTTGACCCTTAGCTGCCCATTGTCCCATTCCCTTTTAGAGCATCCAGGAATTCACACTATTAGTCAAAGGGACACATGTGAGGTGACAGATAAGAAGACAAGCAACTCAGTAACCTGGACAAATTGTTTCAAATGATTTCTGATTCAAAACTACCCTATCTCTGTCCTTTTGATGTCCCCCATTCTTGCCTGCCCCTTCTGGAAATCCTGCTTCCGTTCTGGCCTGATGAGGTCAAAATATCACAAAATCATCCATTCTAACATAAGTCTTATTCTTTTTTTTTTTTTTTTGAAATATCAAAGAAGTCAGTGTGCTCTCAGAAACACTGCATATCAAGAGCCTGGGTTCTCTGGTCCTCATTTGAACTTTCTGAGGTTCCCGCAACACTGACTTAAAGTTCAGTCAGTTTGATGTGATGACTTGGAGTTTGGCGTTTAAGGTGCTATGAAATAAACATCAATACAATGCTGGCTCTTGTTTCATTTGAACTATTTAGCCCTCTAGGGCAGACTCCGGCAAATCTAGAAATTTTGAGTTTCACCGATTACTGAACTTTAAAGAAGGACTGAAGTTATGGATTAAGGGAGTCTGAGTTTCAGAAACTGCTCCTAACTTAAAGTAAATAGCTCTGACTCTTCATCAGCATTTCCTGAGCGGGGCTCTGGTTACAATTTGGCCCCATTGGAAGTCGGGCTACAGCCTGTCTCTATTCTTCCAGAATTACAGGTTGCCATGGTTACAGTGGCTTCTGGAAATGAACTTCATAATTGCTGCATATTGCATATAAACAGCTGGATTCCCTCTTTCAATTTCACTCTGAAACAATGAAGGCCCAAGAAAATGGCCTCGTATTTGAATCATTGACATGCTAAAGACCATTACCAGGAGTGAGGCATCATGGCATAGGGAAACTTGAAGAAATGATAAAGTCAAATTCCCAAGGCTCTATATATGTAGATGAATGTAAAATGCATATGTGTGATTCCACATGCACAGAATCAAAATACTTGAAAAGCTGAAAGAGTCCTTTTTTTTAAAGACCCATTAATCTAACTCCTGTTTTACAGAGTAAAAAGAGAAACCCAGAAACTGAGTTTTCTGTGTAAGGTCACAGAGAAAGGTGGGGTCAGGATTGGGTTTACAAAACAACCTGGTGCTGTATGTGGGTTCTGCTTCAGTCTGAGACAGAGCACCTGGGCTCGTGTTCTGTTTTTGCTGAGTTAGCTTTGTGCCCTACACCATCCCCCCTCCAGGTGTCATTTAAAGCAGTGTTCAGGCTAAGGTCTATAAATGAAGGGAGTTTGTCAAAAAAAGTCATCAGTGCATGTTGCTTTTCTATATGAATAGTGTTTGCTTAGAAGCCATGATTATTGGTATCTTTGCTCCAAATACCTGCTAAACTGGCCCTCCATAGACTTCTAAGATTTCCAGGCTGTATTGCACTTCAGAGAAACTCGTTCAATCCGACTTTTAAAATAGAATTGCTATGAGGGAAGTTAGATATTAATGGTTATTAATACCCTAGCAAAGAATGGTTGATCATCAAATTCATTAATCACATAGTTCAGTGTTGAGGTATAGGTGGCTTTGAGAAGCAGTTACTTTTTGCCCCCCTTGGGGGATTGCAGGGGATCCAGGTGAAAAGTGTGAGTTCACAGGGTTGATAGAGTAGCAGAAGGCTGCAGAGAAGTTGCAGAACAGAGAAGAGGTGACTTCACAGCACAAGACTTTTTTCCGTCTTTTCGTTCATTCACACAGTTGCCTCTCTTTATGAGAAAGTCTCAAAATGTTTCCAAGAAAAGTTACATACAGAATGACAATGGTGCTAAGGTAATAATTTTTAAAAAATAAAAAAAGAGCAATTGACTACATACAGCTGTTAATAGGGAACTATTTCTTTGCCTTACCTGAGCTTGTACTGGAAAAATCTAGGTTCTGCATATAAAATCTTGGAGGCCAGTCTCCTCACTCCTCAGAACTGAGCAACAAGCCCTTTCCCTCTCTCTGTCCAGGACAGGTTTGATCTTGCACAAGGTGAGCCTGCTGTGGAAATACAGCTGGTGATAAGAAGCCGGTTTCATTCTCCTTCTTGGAAATGGACTTCCTTTCCAGCTAGTAATTTTTTCCCAGAGGTCTTGAAGACAGGAATAGGCAGACTGCATAGCAATTCCTCTGGAGGTGTCTGCCCCTTTAATAGAGTCCACA